ACCAAAATGAAGGTCTTCTACACGTCCAAGAACCCACTTCGCTGGGGGTGTGTTCTCTTCCTTGAGGATCACCAAATCATTTTTCTGTAGGTTTCTTTTCTCTTTCCTCCATTTCACACGTTGTTGAAGCTGATTGAGATACTCTTTAGACCATCTTTTCCAAAAATGCTGATGTAACTGCTTTAAGTGTTGCCATCTGTTTAAACGATTTACCTTGACTTCAGACAAATCCTCTTCTGGCAATTGGTTCAGCGGTGTCGTTATCAGAAAATGACCGGGCGTTAGCGGTTGAAGATCAGTCGGGCTCGACGAAAGAGGAGTGAGTGGTCTTGAGTTCAAACAAGCTTCAATCTGACATAGAGTAGTATACATCTCTTCATAAGCCAAACTTACATTTCCCAGAACTCTACGGAGGTGATACTTCATACTCTTTATCCCCGCCTCCCACAAGCCTCCAAAGTGACTTCCTCTCTGCGGGATGAAGTGCCATTCCACGTTATCTTGTTGAAGATAAGTTGTAACCTTGTCGTTGTGCTCCTCTGAGGCAATAAGGCGGCGAAGTTCTTTGCGAGCGCCAACGAAATTGGTACCATTGTCACTGTACATAGCCTTCGGTTTCCCGCGTCTTGCGATGAATCTCTTCAATGTTGCGATGAAAGCTTCAGTACTGAGACTTGTAACCAATTCTAGGTGAACCGCTTTAACCGCTAAGCAAACAAACAGAGCAATCCATGCCTTCTCGGTTCTACTTCCTCGTCCACGACCAGTCTTCAACGAAACAGGACCAGCAAAATCAACTCCAGTGTTCACAAACGCTCGAGCTCCACTCGTGATGCGATCGGACGGTAGAGATCCCATGATCTGTTGCATGGTTTCAGCACGTTGCCGTCGGCATACGATACACTTGTGAACAAATCGTCGGATTAAGTCTCGAGCTCCGATGATCCAATACGTTTGACGAATTGTGGCCATGAGTAACTGTGGACCAGCGTGTAAATTCTTCAAGTGTTCATATTGAATGATCAGCTCAGTCAATCTGTGACGTTTCGGCAACAAAATAGGATGCTTTCGATCGTAGGATATCTGTGCTAGGTCAAGGCGTCCACCAACTCGTAAGACTCCATCGTCGTCCAGAAACGGGCAGAGAGCGATTAAGTTGCTTTTTAGATTGCCAATAACCTTCTTTTTCATCAGATGGCTGATTTCCTTGGAAAATCCATCAGCTTGCGCCGACTTGATCAACAGCAATAAAGAGCTTTTCAATTCTGTCATGTCGAGAGGACCAGACCTCTTGTATCTTGGAAGTAATGTTTTAAAAGTTCGACAGTGAGGACTGGACGGGGTTTCAAGTCCGCGCAATTAGTTCCAGTCCGAGGCGTTAGCCGAACGACTTCTCATACTCATTAATTATTCGGGAGGGGAAAAAAGCGAAGGAAATACATATAACAGAAATATATTGATTTATTGCATCTCCACTAAGGTTTTCAGTTTTCATAATTTTGAATAAAGAAACACCGTTTGTTGTTTTCCAATTCCCGAACGGCTCTCTGAAACAAAAGCTTTTCAAATTGTCTTTGTTTGCTTTTCATGGCATTCCTAATGAGCCTAATTCATAAGTTTTATAAGTATGTTATCTTCCAAGGAAGCGCATCAGAAACTCGGTGGTGTAATGGTATAAGACGGCGCATATAGATTGGACGGTTCGGGATCGTTTCGTGAGGGAGTCATTTATCAAAGACCTTTTTTCACTAAATTAATTCTATATTAAGTTGATTATTTTTAAGACTTTGATTATTATTAGCTAGTAGTAGTTAGAAAAAGCTAGAAGTAACTAGAAACAAGGTAGAAGTAACTGGAAATAAGATAGAAGTAGCTGGAAACAAGGTAGAAGTAACTGGAAATAAGCTAGAATACAAGGTAGGAGTACTTCCTCTGGTATCCAATTACTGCACGTGGTACAAATTACAATCAAGGATTGGCTGGATACCTCATGAATAATTAATGAGTATGAGAATCCATCGTCGACACCATGCCACCACACGTACCAGCTTAGAAAAGGAAGAATAGGAAAAAAGGCCAAAGACGTCAACGCTTGGAGTTAGAACTGCATTGGCTGCTATGACTTCTTGATTACTTCTTTGCTCAGAGCACGGGCTTTAGGAGACTAAAGTTGTCTGGTGATGACAAGGTTTCTGATGAAAGCAGTCTGTCGCATTTCGTGGAATTGGATRATTTACTGAGAAAATTCTGGGAGATTGAAGATACTCCGTTCGTAAAGCCGTGGTCGATTGAGGAAAAATTAGCTGAAACTCACTTCATGGAAACAACTTCTCGAAATGAAAATGGTCAATACATTGTTGCTTTGCCATTCAAGGATAACGTTGTTCTGGGAGAAAGTCGTTCTCAGGCTCTTCAACGTCTGCATCAAATGGAAAGACGCTTGAGTCGTGACTCTAAACTCAAGGAAGATTATTCTGCAGTTATGCGCGAGTATCTGGAGTTAGGTCACGCTGAGAAGGTGCCCGAARAGGAATTGAAATCTAATAACGCTTACTACATGCCTCATCATGGTGTCGTGAAAGAGTCCAGCTCTACTACTAAATTAAGAGTTGTTTTTGACGCGTCTGCCAAGACGTCTACAGGACATTCTTTAAAAGACTGTTTGATGGTTGGATCGAAAGTTCAGCAAGATTTAGTGTATATTCTGATGCGTTTTCGTCTACATCCTGTCTGTTTTTCTGCAGATATTGCCAAGATGTACAGGCANTTGTACAAAAGCGCGTGTCACGAAACTTGACTGAGATCCTGGATCAATTAAGACTCTGCATAATATCTTCTGACCATCGTTAGAGTCAGCATAAACCAGTGCAGTGGCCAACAAAACTTCCTCCTTAAGAATAAATGATTGTTCCACAAAGGTAGAAACATTCGACGTACTATCATCAACAGACTTTGATGAACTTGAAACTTCGACACTTTCCTTGTGTAGATCATCGACATGAAGCGTCGGATGATGTTTTTTCCTGCACGCTCTACAGCTTGGCGGTTTTGGACATTGTGCCACAAAATGTTGCCTTGAGAAACAATTGAGACAAAGCTTTAAACACAAAATTTTAGACCTTCTTTCAAGCGCATCCAGACGTGTATATTCAGGACAATAGGACAAACGATGATCACTTCCACACAAAAAACAATTATCCTTCAGATTCTTTTGAACGGCACTAAAACACTTTACAGAAGCAGTTGAATTTGAAGATTTGTTTCCATAGTTGAATTTCTTTGATTTTTCTTCCGATGCCTCCAAAGCATAAGCGTGTTCAGAAAGAAAATCATGCATTTCCTTGAACGTAGGACTTTGGTTATTAGCAGTATGCTTTTCCCATTCAAAGCGTGTTTCGGAATCAAGCTTTTTCTTGCAAATGTAAACAAGCCAAGAGCTCCAGTGTTGAACAGGTTCTCCTAAATTACGTAGAGCTTGAATGTTTTCATCCATGACATTACATAACTTCCGAAGATTAACTGCATTCTTTTTTCCAATACTTTGCATGTTGAAAATTGTGTCAAAATGAGCCTCGCGTATATTCTTGACGTTCTCGTATCTTCCTTTCAATAAATCAATAGCAATAGCATAATTTGCATCATTCAAATTCAAATTCTTGACGAGTACAGCAGCTTCTCCCTTGAGACACGATTTCAAATATTGAAGCTTCTGAACGGGCGCTAAATTTGAACGCGAATCAACAGCACATTTAAAAGTATCGTAGAACTCCGACCATTGCGTATATCCTCCACTGAACGATTTCAAATCCAGTTGCGGCAGCTTTGCTTCACTCGCAGAAATCTTATTAGCAGAAAACAGATCCTTTAACGATTCTTGTTGTTGTGCAGTAATGCGTTGCAATGATTCCACTTGATTGTTCACAATTTCTTTAACAGCTTGCAATATTGTTGCATCAAACGTAGAACTAGAAGCTGACGCAGAAGTAGCACGCGTCGATTCTTCAGGAAAGTAGTTATCTTCGATAATATCAATTATTTCTTCGATTCCCGTACACTTGTCTTGAAAAACCTTGTATGAATAGTGAATTTCTTCAACCTCTTCGGTTGTCGCTGCTTCATTCAACAATTCTTCGAAAATCTGGTCATACCTTTCCTTATAGACTGACAAAGCGTTCTGTTTCTTTGCCAAAACTTTAGCGGTCGTCTTTACACTTTCGCCATCCTCACTAGTAACACTTTTCACATAGTCGTAAATACATTCTACTTGATACTTGATTCCATCCCTTTTCTTGATAAGTCGCTCCATACTCAATAACGCCAGTAGAAGAATTACTGAAATACGTAACATTTGCAGTACTTGAATCTGTCCATAGAATTATCCGGTTCGAAGGACCATGTTGATGATTCGATTCAATATTAGACTTTATTGCTTGTAATTTCGGTTCATTCGATTCAGGTCGGGTCGAGTCGTGTCGTGTCTTTTTTACCTACTTCACAATATTCTTCCCTTAAATTTATATACACTTGAGTTTACATAGAGTGATGCAATCGGTTGCATCACTYACGCTTATATGTCAAACTATGTGATAATGAATGCGAGACTAAACAAAGCTCGTAATACATGACTCCGATAAATCCTCCGATGATACCGCTGACAGAAGAGATTTCCTTGACGACGATCACGTAGAATGGTTGCGGTTCCATCACTTGCGTACTATTCATTTCTGTCAAATATTTGTGAGAAATTCCAAGACATTATACTTATTAAACACTACAAAAAAAAGGAATTTCACTCTTCAATTGCCAAATTTACTGCAAATCATTCAATGAATATATTTAATGAACTCCACATAGGACAACTTGCAATCATGTCGCTATGATAATAATGCATTTTTAAAGACTTAAATGTCTTATTTTCATGTTATATTGCTATAACATGTTATATTGCTATAAATATTTTATTTCTTGGTGTTATTGAAACATAAGATAATGCTAATGAATCTCTTTTCGCCCTTTATTTCCACTCTATCAGTAAAATCCTGTTCTACATCCTATTCTATATCTACATAAAATACCTCTCTACGAATTATAATACAAAATAATGTAAGTGGCTCATGAGACTCTTTGATTGCATACCTCCTGTACTTTAATCCAGTGCCAAGGGTTGAGGTTCTCAGGTGTTGTAGGAAACGCATTTTGACAGGATGGAGGAAAATCTTTCATCTTTATTTATTAACAACAATAAATGTGAATGTCGAGCAAAAAATTGGATGTTTTCACAGCTATTTCCTTCATGTCATTAAAGCGCCGTTTACACCTGCAATTTTTCCTTGACAAGTTTCTTGACAAGGAAAAATTGTCCGTGTAAATGGCCAACAAGTTTTCCTTGACAATTTCTCCTTGACAAATGCTTCTTTGCTCGTGTAAACGAAGAACTTCAAGTAATCTTAAAAACTATCGAACGAATAACGTTTTGCAATAAGGACCATCATCCTTTTACGACTAATAAACGTCTCACCTTTTCTTTTATGAAATTTTCCCACGCGTTTATGACTTTTATCCCTTCTAGGTATCCCAGTTTACTTATCGTCAAACCTGTTTCTACAGTGATAGCAGTATAAAGCAATTGATTTCCATATTTGCCTCCTAAAAATACAAACATAACAATTTTAATTATTTTTTAGAAATCGACGAACCTTCATCCTTACATTGTCTCATTTAAAGTGCGGGTACGATGAGATCCGAGGATAAGCGATTTTTTAGTTTTTGCTAGTTTATACTATGAATAATACTAAAAATAAGCTATTTTACATTTTAGATGAAGAGAACATGTTGAAATTTGCCATTATTGTCGTTGATTTTCGATCYGCCATTAATCGGCAGCCATTTTGGAAGATGAAAGCCGTTAGGCGCTGGTAGCGAATTTTGACGTCATATGCTTACACGAGTGAATTTGTCAACCAGGCGCGTAGCGTGGACTCTTGGCTAGTACGCACACGTTAGGAACCGTGACACATATTTTAGATTGCGGGACTAACGACTGCCGAAGGCGAGAGTATTGCAGTCCGGCTACTGGAACCGGGGCCACCTAGAGAATATAAAATCCCACAATTTATATTGAAAACAAAAGATTCAGACTACCTTGATTCAGACTACCTTGAACGGTTTACCTGGAGACATGACTCAGTTCTCAACTTCATTGCCACATCGCTTAAACCTGAAATAAATSATCGCTCTTCGCTGTATGCTGACGTACATGGTTTCCGGACCCTTCAATTATAACTGGTGACACGCTCCGACCTGATCTGCTTTTGCTTRTACACTCCAAATGTCTGTATGTCCTAGAACTAACAGTTGGTTTTGAGTCTAACCTTTGCAAAAACGCAATACGGAAAAAGGAAAAATACAAGGTCTTGATTAACGAGCTGARCAGCAATTATACGCGAGTTAAATTTATTAACCTATCTATGAGTTCTCTGGGCATTTTTTCAAATGAATGCTCCACCTTTCTGGAMATGTTAAATGACATTGGGATGGATAAAACACAACGTCGCTATATTATAAGGAAAATGATCAATCTTGCTATTAGAACAAC